GCAGTCCTTTCCGACACTGCCAGTAGGAAACAACACCGCCACTCTTGTTCCAGGAGCCTCTTATCAAATCTCTGGATCTAATCAGCAACCTAATAACCGCCAATTGCCAATCCAAGGAAAATCCCGATCTGAACATTGTTTGCAGTCATCAGCATCGTTTGCTAATATAACGGTCGGTAGTGAGAAAAAAGGCAACAACAACGTTCACAACTCTCAAGCGATTGCAGCAAGCAACAACGGTTTGCTGGAAAGCGAAGATAGTAGCAATGATGATAATGATGAAGGTAATGAGCATCAGCAGCAGCCATTACCTCTACTACAACCTCCCTGCCGTCCTAGCATGATGGCTGACTTCCGTCGAAAAAAGCAACTTCAAGCCAACCAGTCAGCGGTTGTGATGAAGCAAAGCAGACACCAGCAAGCGGAAATGGCTGCAAAGTTGATGGAGCAACAACAGCAAGTCGAGCTAGCAAATGCTACTTGCAACAAAAATCTTGCAAAGAAATCCTCACGCTCAGCTGCTGTGGGTAAAAACGACAGTCGTGCAATTGTGGAAGCAGCTGAAACTGGAATGTTTAGCAGACCTGTTGTGCCCGGCAACAAGATGTCAGTGCTGGCCCCTGTTTGTGAGCACTTCTCTCAAGCGGAGTTTGAAGCTGCTTCCGATGCTGCTGCTGCCATCAACTCATCGCACTCGTTGCCTCCTAAGCCTCCTAAACCAAAAGCTCCTATTCGTCCTAAAACGTTAAACTTTGAGCCTTTTCACAATTCGCTTCCGTTCATTTCGCCTCTTTATCCTTCTTCTCCTCCTTCTCCTTTTATACCTGAGCGACCTTCTCAATCTTCCTCTTCAGATTTGTTCAAAGAGCTGGTGTACTTCATGGGAGTGGAAACTGATCTAAAGCGCAAAATGGCAAACGCCACTTCTTCAACTGATCTTGATTACAAGCTCAATGCTACCAATTTAAAGAAGGTTCAATCGAAGATTAAGAAACTGGAATCTCAAGTTTTGACTCAGGGTTCATCGCACAGCTTTGCTCCGGAAAATTTGCAAATTTCTGTCTACTCCCCAGGAATACCGTTTCTAGAAACAGGGGCAGCAACTCCATCTGCAAATCAGACTGCTCAACCAAACCGAGTTCAATTGCCACCGATTGCTGCAAAGAATAATGCTCCGAAAAAAGGCAAAGTTGTTAAAGGAAAACTGATTCCGGCTAAACGGGCCAAAAAGTCGGCCAAACCCGAGGACACTTGTTACAAACCGAGCAAGGCCGTCCAGCCGATGACACCGACGGCTCATTCGCTGACTCGATCAATGGTGATGAGACTGAAGGAATGCAGCAAAGGTGACGACGGTGGTAATGCTGGTGCTGGTGATGGTGGTGGTGGTGGCAACACTAACACTCGCAACATTAACCCGCAGAATATGGTCATCAGAAACGAAAACGTTAATCTTGGAACGGCAGAGATAATCCCTGCTGCAACTGGGGAGGCTGAAGTGCCGACACCGCAAGCGAAGCCAAAAAGCAGTCACAACGTTTTCACCGAGCAGGACCCGTTCATTAGCTACATCAATTGGGATTTGAATTTTGAGCAGTTCAATTCGCTGAAGGCCAAGGCGGCTAAGAAGTAAAGTTGCGCGAGGTATCACACCATATATACGACAACTTTAAGTACAAAATTACAAACCACACAAAATTTAAAACTCACATACACACAGCAACTACGACAATTAAACTGACAAATCTTCTAACTATCTTTAACATGAGTGGATCCTAAATTAACATTCAACACAGCATCTGACGTTTTCCACATCCTGCACAGATACACAAACACAAACACAAACACAAACACAAACACAAACACAAACACAAACACAAACACAAATGCACAATTATTTTATATCTTATAATTTATTTTCGTTTAATCTACTTCCCTTAAATCTTTTGAAAAAGATATTGTAAACATCTATTTTTTTATTTTCTTTATAAGCCTACTGTTATTACTCACCAGGAAAAACCACAAGTCTTGCGTTGCTGTTGTCAACATCCTATCATCATCAGCATCAACTTTGAGTAATGGCATCAACATATAAAAAACACAATTGTTTCATTTTTGTTTGTTCAAATTTTGTTATTCTACCATCTAATCTTGTAGGCACTAGTTGATCGAATGTGAACTACAAACTAAAATAAACAACCAAATTTGATTCATCTTTTATCGGTTGTTAACCAAAAACATCCTTATTTTTCATGATTTCTCTTCAGAGACACATGTACCCGCCGTCGACCACGAAGTGACTGCCGGTAATGTACTCCGCCTCACTGCTGGCCAGATAGAGCACCAAGTTGGCCACCTCATCCGCCTCACCGAAGCGTTTCATGACAGTGTGCGGCACCAGCGGGTTCTTCGCCGGGTCGTCGAAGATCTCCGGACAGTTCATGCTGGCGCCGATGGGCGTCCGAATCGGGCCGGGGTTGACCGAGTTGACGCGAATGCCCAGCGGGCCGAGGTCCACGGCGGCACACTTGGTGATCATCTGCACTGCGGCCTTGCTCGTCGAGTAGACGGTGTTCACCACTGGCAGGTAGGAGGCGATGCTCGCCGTGTTGATGATGTTTCCCTTGCTCCGCTGCAGGTGGGGCACGCAGAGGTGGGTCATCTTCACCAGAGAGCGCACATTGAGGCTCATCAACAGGTCAAACTGCTCGAGCAGGGCCGGGTCGAGGAAAGAGCCGCCCGGACAGAGGCGACCGGCGTTGTTGAAGAGAACGTCAATGCGGCCGTACTTGGCCACCGTTTCGCTGACTAGACGAGCGGCAAAGGCGTCGCTGGTCAGGTCGCCCACCAGAGCCAGTGGCTTCTCGCCGGAGATGGCCTCAACTGCGGTGACCATCTTCTCCACGTCGGCCTCGAGGTGGCCGGTGATGACCACTTTGGCGTGGCATTTGGCGAACTGGATGGCCACGGCGCCGCCGATGCCGCCGCTGCTTCCTACATTAAGAAAGAGTTTTAGAAGTTTTAGTGAGCTGCTTGTCATCGGTTTTGAGCTGTAAGTTGTACCTGTGATGAGGGCCACCTTTCCGGAAAAATCGTACTTCTTGGAAGTCATTTTGCTGGAGTTTGGCTGATGCTGAAGTCGGAGAGAGTGACAGTACTACTGTCACTACTGTTAGGACAACAGTTTTGGCCTTTTCTGCAGTAGAAACGACAGCTTTATCCGGTTATCAGGAAATGAACTGATTCTGATAAAAAAACGGCCTAAATGGTGTTTAATGTATCAGTAACAGTAGCTACTGGACGGCAATGTGAGAGATAAGAGTGGACGCGGTCGAGTCGTGAGAACGTTATGGTACTCACATTATCAATACAAAAAAACTGAACATGTCGCACTTGTGTTGAACTGCTGTTTGCAAACCAAAGTCCAGGCAGTGCTGGCAGACCCTCACCAAACTCTCAACAAACTGTTCTCATCTTCAACTTTGACCACTTTTTATCAACCTTTTTTCAAAGCAAAGTTTATGATCACAGCTTTTTGTGCCGCTGAAAAACAACAACAAATGCCTCTTACTAAACACTAATCGCTTTCGCTAGATGGCGAAACCGGAGCAGTCAGCTCTTAGTTCGCTTTGCGCCAGAGGAGCGCACTGTAGCACAGCAGCAAAATAGCTCTCTAGAAAGAACTGTTACAAGAGAGAAGGCTGCTCCTAAAAACAACAAAACACACGCAGTGAAGCAGATAGAAAGTAAACAAAGAGCTGTGTCGTGACGATGTTGTTGCTGGTTTATTGGAATAAAGATTGGTAATCAGACAGGCATGATGACAGAGAGAAAATGACAAGTGAACTTGTGTCTGTCTGAGAAGATGAGTATGGGTGAATGAGATGGTGAGCATGATTGTGTGTGTGCGAGTAAAAGTGAGTCAGGGAATGTGAACTGTGGTGACACTACTACGTGCGGAGGCACTGCAAAGCGATAAATCAAACTGCAAATAAAACTCTGGTTTGTCTGCTTTATGCAGTTACTTGTTTCCCGTTGACCATAAATAGCCTCCATGCTACTTCGTTTTCCTTAATTCAGCCGGCCCTCTGTTGTTACTGCCCTGTCCTCTGTGGACGTTCTGTGAGTCACACTTGGCTGCTCTTACCCGTAGCCGTTGCGGGGAAACAACACACGCACACAGGCAGAACACACATTTCCAGTAGCAGCAGTTGCGCGTCGTTTAATTTTGATAAAAGTTTTTTTTGACTTTTTAGATTCAAGTTTAGTCGAACACTCACTTCCGGTAAAAACCTAGCACTCCCACACTGCTTCCTGTCCTGCCCTGTTCACCCCAACTCTGTAGGGTGTGTTTCAGAGGTTTAAAAATTAATTGTTTTCACTTCCTTTTTGGTGATCGGCCCACACCTTGGCTGCACTTGGCAGCCTTTTTCGGCTTCATTTGGTTTGTAGTATTTTTTCCTTTGTCGGCATGCCATGGAAACTACCCCCCCCTTCCCCTTTCACCCATTCCCATTCAAGCGACTAACCAGCGCATCATTTTTCGTTTCCAGGTAGCCGCTGCTAGGCAACATTTATTACCACGCGTCACCCGTCATTTACTTTCAATCGTCTCTCTCTCTCTCTCTCTCTCTTGCTTCACCTGTTGTCATCTTTACTTAGCTCTAAATTGATCGTGCAAGCGTTTGCACGCTTTGTGACATCGCAAACAGTGCAGAACTTAGAGAGAAGTCGTCTTCGAAAGGCGATTTTGTGCTCAATCTTTTAAAAAAAGGCGGTTCGATAATTTCAAACTTCATATCAAGTAGGTTTTCTGTTTATTAAAAAACTGTATTTGTTGAAATTGAGTACAGTAGCAGACGCCAGGCCGCTGGTGACGTGGTTTTGCACATGCGACGTTCGAAACCGCTGTAAATGCTTTAAAAGCTGCTCCCTCTACCATTAAAAGTCAGTTTGGACTGCGTCATGCTTTTAAATCTCTTCGCGCGCCACGTCACCAACCGCTTTTGTACTCATTTTCATACTTTAAAATTAGCCGATTAGATTTTTTTAAATAAACACTCTTTTTTTGCAGGCAAAAACATGACCACCTTACAGACTGAGCTCGCCAAGTTTGAGGCGGAGAAGGACAAGTTGAAGACCTTCATCATTGATCAGATTGACCACCTTTTCAACACCTTTGCCAAACGACTGTTTCAGATCGCCAAAGAGGAGAGCTCAAAGCCTTCGTTGCCGTCTTCGACGACTGAACCAGGACAAGGACCACATTCAGAAGCACTAGCCGCCTTGCCAGCTAGGCTGATCACCGAGCTGCCCGCCTCCTCGGAGCACCTGCATCGGTACCTCAGCTCAGCTGATGGCGGCGACTGCGCCCGCAACCTGCCGATGGCCGCCTTTGCCATTGTGCCCGACGCTTCGGTGCCCGGCTCCTACACGCTGACAATGGTGGAGCGACCGGTCGACCCGGCGAACGGCGTCACTACTCCGACGGCTCCGCAGCATCAACTGCTGCAGAGTGCACCATCAATGACTAAACCGATGACCACTGTTGGGCCTTCAACCACAGCTGATCCTCTGATTGAAGGGAGTAGTAACGGCGACCAACCCCGTTTTCCCCTTGTTCAAGTGAAGACTGAGGAGCCGATGATGATGAGTTCGGACAATGAACCTTCTGCTGCAGTTGCTGCTGCTGTCACATTGCCGATGTCCAATTCGATGGTGGCCAACAGCAGCAGCCAGAACAACAACGACCAAATTCAGACCGAAGATGTCAAACCTGACTTGAAGAAGCTGAAGAAGGTTTGTGCCTCTCGCTCTAGACAATACGTCATTCTTTCAAAAGAGTCAATTAAACGTAGAGAAGCTACGTTGCGTTGCATGAAAAAACTAGAGGCAGCTCGTAATAGAAATGCTGCTGCTGCAGCAGATGATTCTAAAAGTGATTCTGATTCTGCCCCCATTGCCTCTGATGCCAAAAATTCCGATGCCGAAAAGGTCGACAGTGACGCCACTGAGGAAGACGTGCAGTTTGTTGAAACTAAAAATCAGCAGCCACAACAGCAGCAACAACAACAACCTAACAGTGAGGTCATCTGCTCCTATGATTCCGCCTCTGAGGCGGAAAATTCCAACTCATGTGACTGCCGTGAATGCGCCAATCAGAATAATACGGCGGCCGAAATGGAAACAAACAACGGCGGAAGTGGTAGCGACATAGACAACACTTCACTTTTCACGGCTGAAAAGCGAAAACGAGCTCAGGTGGACAGAGAGGAGGAAGAGGAAGAAGACGTGAAGCCGAGCATTGAACATTTACAGAGCAACTCCACCATCACCACCATCATTACCACCACCACCACCACTTCAGAGCAAACTTTGCCTGCCACTGACACAAACGTTCCAAAACTGAAAATAAACTACTCACAAATTCGGCAGTCGCTGAATCAGAAAATGTGTTTGACGATGATCAAGCGTGGACTGCAGAAGCAGAAGCAGCAGCATCAACAACGACAACAACAGCAGCAACAACAACAGCAACAACAACAACAACAACAACAACAACAACAACAGCAACAACAACAGCAACAACAACAACAACAACAACAACAACAACAACAGCAACAACAACAGCAACAACAACAACAACAACAGCAACAACAACAACAACCAGCAACTTCCAGCACAACAACGTCGACTGTTAGCCAGCCAGCATCTCAAAACCGCCTGCAGCCCACTTCGGGCAACTTTTCCCAAGTCACCGGAGGAGGAGGAGGCCAGCAAAGGGAACCAAAGCGCTACCCGCAGCGAAGTATCGTCCGTCGGGCGGATGGCTACTTCTGCCGTCGCTGTGAGGTCTCCTTCACCGACCAGTACGCCATTCGCCTGCACCAGACGACGGCGCACGGCTGGGGAGGCGCCCGAAAGAAGCGAACCACTGTTGCAGTGGCTGGTGCTGCTGCTGAAAATGGCGGTGGCAGTGGAGTAAGGAATCAACCACTGATACTCGACCTGGATCCAGCGCAGAACACCGCCCACTACATCTTCTCTCGGCAGCCGCAGTTTCAGGCTTCTCAAGCTTCCAGTGCTGCTCCTCCTCCTCTTCAATTGCAACAACAACAGCCACCGCAAATCCGAATCAATGCGCTTTCCGTTTCAGAGCCAATGCCATTGACCATTGCTACTGCTGAAAACCACTGTGATAACACTGACGACAACAAGACTGAGACTGAAACGACAATTAATCTTCTCAATAGTGAAACAGCCAACAGCCACGCTGATAATGGCGACATCGCCAACAGCTCTTTCAACACTTCGGTCACAATTCCCAACTTAGGGATTTCCCCTGCTCCTTTGAATACGGGCAACCCTTTGAGTGAGAACACAGCCAACAGTGAGAATAACTATGAAACTTTAGAAATGACCGCCGACAACCAGCAACGACCTCAAGGCTCCTCGGCACCGCCAAATTTCTCTAACAACAGTGGTGATCCTTCTGACTGTTTAAACTCTCCGTTCACCTTATCCTCTTCTTCCTCCTCCTCTCCTACCTCAAACACCATCCCTAACGGCACAATGGTCACTTTGGCTCAACCACAGCCCTCTACTAGTAGTACCACTGGTAGTTATCACAACGGTGATCTTCACCCCCCTCACCATCCCAACCTCCAGCAACTGCAACAGCCAGCCTTCCAGCCCACACTGATCACCCGATCCTTCTCTGCAATTGACTTAAACAACCTAAGCATTCACGAGGCTGTCCCACTGAACTGCACGACCTTCCAGGCAACGCCGATCATCGCCTCGGTTCCAATCAACGGCGGCGGCGGCGTAGTTACCACCAGCAGCTACAGTGTTCTCCGTCCGCTGAATCCCGCTCCTCCTCAATCGCTTCCCTTTTCTGCCTTATCTTCCTCTTCATCTTCCTCTTTTTCTGCCTCCTCTGCTTCTAATCAACATCATCCTCAAGAAGGAAACACTGATGTACAAGAGGAGGCGGCATCGGCAACAGGGGCAGAGGAGGATCAGTTTGGGGGCGGCGGCCCCTACCTTTGCACAATTTGCGACCTACGCATCAGCAGCAGCTTCAACTTCAACCGCCACCTCTTCCGCCAC